TATTTGCCATAAATTTTAAAAGGGGATGAGACAGAACTTGAAAAAATTACTTAATGATAGATAACACTCAGAATCCAACAGCCATGCTGGGTCAAGGTTTCTGCAAGTTGTCCAAAAAACCCCCAACTTTTTCAAAATTAGGTGCATTTATGAAGAGGGGTAGGTCTGTTGGAACTAATTAACCTTACAGTGAAACAACACCATATCCAGAGATAGCATGCGTCTGAACACTGTGTATTGGGAAGTGTTGCCCTTCTTGCATGGTTAGCACCCTACTTCCAAGAGAGGTCAGAAAGAGAGAAATCTTTCTGACCCTGTAGGAAGCAGGGTGCTAAGCCAGCTAGATTTATGGTTTATTCCAGCAGGGCTCTTTTATTTTGCTTTGTACAACCTTGGATAGCTGAGTTGAAAAACAACCTTCCCTGCTAGAGATGATAGAGTAGGCTGGACAGATGCTTTCACTTGCTCTTTGTTGACTTTGTATGGCTGTGTTTCTTTGTCATGGTAGCAAGTTGAGTTGAGGTTGCATGTTCTGAATGGATTTATGACCAACTGAGTTCACTCACATGTGCCACTTTTTATGAAGCTATAAACAGTAATGGCTTGGTCTGAATGAAGGTGGTGGTACACTTAATTCTCAGCCTTTTTGGCTGTGACTTCAAGAGTGTGTAAAGATATGGTACACTTAATTCTCAGCCTTTTTGGCTATGACTTCAAGAGAATTACATTCTCCAGAGCAGCTAAACTTTATCATTTCTGTCTATGTTGCTAATCTTGGATTGTCTCCAGATGACTATGGGGTAGTCCAGAGCAGTAACAAAGGAAGAGAGGGACGCAGAAGCCGCATGGTTAACTTCGCATCACCTCTGTATCCAGAATGATTGAAGATTCCAGTCTTGAGCAGCTAAACTTTATCATTTCTGTCTATGTTGCTAATCTTGGATTGTCTCCAGATGACTATGGGGTAGTCCAGAGCAGTAACAAAGGAAGAGAGGGACGCAGAAGCCGCATGGTTAACTTTGCATCACCTCAGTATCCTGTCTCTGTGGCCGGCATCTTCAGAGGACAGGAGTAGCACTTACTTGTTTCAGAAAGATAGATTTATCAACAGATTGGAAGAAAGCAATACTACAATAGTAAGCCATTCAAAGACACAACAGGCAGTCTTCTCTGTGGGTAGATGCTTTGACATTGCTGGAGCTGTACCAATTTCTTGTTACTTACAATGTCCCAATAACTTTTCATTATGTACAGTATGATGTGGATGTGCACACTGTTTGTGACAAGTAACCTTGTAATATGGCTGCCAAAAAGCAGAATGTGACTATGTGGGCCAGTCCTTGAAGGAGATGGCCTTTATAATCTAGTAATTGTCATATTTAGAATAATCACACCTGTGTTCTCTAACTGTAATATATTAGTAATAAGCTCGCCAACAGCCATCTTCATCATTGTTTTCATTCCATTGCCAAAGTACTGAACTGGCAGTACATACAGTTGAGTGCAGTCCGATGCTGAATGTACTGGCAGATGTAAACTACAATCGGAGAATGCATGTACCCTCTCCATCTGGTGACCAAAGGATGACTTGAGTATTATGTCCTTGTGGAACAATTAATTGTGTGTGTACGTACATGTATAAACTCCATAATTAGTACTATATGCGATTCACTGAAAATGGCATCTCTCAGATAAATTAAGTGCATCCCCTTTATGGCTGTCTCTTGCAAGAGAGCTAATGGTACAGCAACAGGGGATTATGTCCATCTGGCTTGCCTGACATCAGAAATTCCCTAAACCTGTTTGTACAAAATCTGTCCCAACTTGCTCGTAGCCTTTCCACAGCCTCTCTCGTCTAGGCAGGCTGGGATTCCCCTTCACCGGCATCACTCATCATTCAAATCCCACCTCACTGTTTTTTTGGCTACACAAGAGATCGTGTTCCCCGTATGCTGAATTAACAGGCTCTTCCCTGACACTAATTTGACAAGGATAACTTTTAATTTATCACCACCTTGCTGGTTCATGTGTAAAATTAGTCTTTCACCTCCAGTAATATTTTTCTTTCCTCCCCCATTTACATTGTGCATGTGTTTGCTTTTCTACCTGTCTCTCTCAAATGCCTGAGAGTTGACTAATAAGTCCAGCTCACCACTGAGGTAACGGAAAAGCAGATTCGGTGTATTAAAAACTCACAACTGCCGACATTATGGCCATGTTTAATACTGTGATTCAGCCTGAGAACCATGCTGCCCTTGGTTTGGAAGAAGACCTTGTTAGTTCTTCTTCCAGAATATGGCAGTTGGACAGCGTATGAGTTTGCATAGAGGGCAGTCCCAGGCAGCTTCAGAGAGATATGTGACCGATATGCCACTGTGGGACATATGCTTTGTAGACAGATGATCCCAGAATCCTCAAATCCCCAGCGGAGTGTTCTCATCTAAGAGGGGCCAACAAATGCCTGTGTCTGAAATTTTGAAGATCTAGCTTTCAGTGAGAATAGGCAATACACTTGGCTGGTTGAGCTAGTGACCTGATTAAGGATAATGTAGGTTCTTAGAGGATATTTCTGCTTCTTCAACTCTATAAACATTCAGAAGATCCCATGGCTTGCTGGAAATAATTTGAGATCAGTTGTCCAGTTCTTCTTTTTTTTCTCTGCCATTCTCAAAATCTT